AATTGATATTATAGTTGTTATAAGCCACATATGAATATGGGAATATGAAGAGTTTAAAAGTCTCAGGGAAATATCATATTATTAGGATATTTGCTCTGCTGAAAACCCAGACGTCACTGATTTTCCTTAAGAAAACATTAATGTAGCTCTACTGGGTTGCAATTAACCTCTTTGTCAGGGCTCATCTGATCTTAAAAGTAAAGGACAAAATGAAGGCATTTAAATCAGTGCCTCACAGTAGTATCCAAGATCTTAATCTGCAGGAAAAATGCTTAGGTTAACAATGATATTCTGTGAAAAAAAGACTATAAAAGGGTAATTACAGCAATTCTAATGTTGATTCCTGCCCATAGGAGCGCAAGTAACACCTTCCGACAATGAAAAGGCCTTTTTTCCCCCCATCTTGTAGTAAAGCATGAAATGGTAAATATACAACAACACTTTAAACCATCTATATTCTATGGCATACAAACCAAAGCAGAGCTCTAGCAATTTTTGGAGTTAGGCAGTTTGGAAATATAAAATGAGAAAGCTATATCAGCTTCTAACATCAGTAATGAGTATACGCAATTCTAAATCATGTATGGATGTTCAGCCATTCAGATCATTACATTGGCTAGATGTTTGTTCCTTATTATGGATAAAGGGTAGCTAGTGAAATGGACTATTTTCTATGATAATTTTTTCCACTATACTGTAGCTTTACCGGGGATAGAGGTGAATAGGATATAAAAAACAAACAAACAAGCAAGCAGAAAATAATGGGCCAGATCGTAAGACTTTTGCACGCATTAACTAGTGCCTTACTCGGCAAGCAGGCCCACTGAAGCCAATGAGACCATTGAAGGAGCAAGATGTTATCAGTGTGCACAAAAATATCCCATCTAGCTCAGTGGTATTAGGCCAAATTCATTAACTTCAAAATTCCGTGTATTTCCTTGCTTTATAATCTGCTGTAATGCTAGGATACATTCAAATGCGTGACTTCTGTTTTTGCACAACCATTTTTGCATGCACCGTTGATTGCATACTAACAAGTGGGAACACACCTATTTTGCACTCACATTCAGCCACTGGTCAGCTCAAAATGGGTGCATAATCACTGGATGAGGTTAGGCAAGTCACTTTACTGCTCTGTGTCTCGGTTTCCCCGTCTGTAAAATGGGGATAATGATACTGCTCTCCTTTGCAAAGTGCTTTGAGATCTACTGGTGAAAAGTGCTACATAAGAGCTATGTATTTTCATATTGTATGTGTTTTCAGCCTTTTCTCTACCTTAACTGTGATTCCATATTGTGGAAACACATTCAAATGCAGAACATTCCATATTTATCTTACAGTTCATTTTTTCTTAACAAGTTTCATGACTCTGCCACTAACGTGAATTTTTAGATTTAAGTTTAAATAATAAATGCAGCTATTTGACCTGAGCTGCAAAGTAAAAAAAAAAAAAAAAGCATTAGAAACCTGGATACCCAAAACTATATTCACCATTTCATATATTGCTTAGGAGCTATTGGTTTTGTATGTAGAGAACGTATCCATTTAAAACAAACAACGTTACTCTTTTACTTCAATTTTTATTTTCTCAGTGGGTTAGATTTTCTTTCAATGGGATTATTCTCTCATTAAACATTAACTGCAAGAGATTTATAGACTGTTCATGTGGTTTTGGGTTGTGTGGGAGCATGCAGGCTTTGATCAGGAACATTCCTTTAAGTGGCATTTTCAGATATTTTTTAAGTGAATTTAGTAGTGAACTAGTAGACAGCCCTGAAAACTTAAGCCCTCTGTTTATCAATAGGACTGGCAGCAGCAATGCAAACGTGTGTGCAAAATTCAGGCCTAGAGGAATCACTTGTAGGAGTCAGATAACGGCTAAGCCTCCATCCCTGCTCAGACTGCCAATAGTGGTGCCAGCTGCAATGATGATTTTTGTGATGTGGACATTTGCCCACTAGAAACTGGACTGAAGCCATCAAATCCAAGGAAATGCTTTTTGGCAACCCATCACTCTGGGCCACACTGATGACCTTGAAGGGAAAAGTTCCATATCCTAGCACCTATCCCCTGAGTCACTGTCTAATTGTTATTATTTTAAACACTATTTGCTTGTGCTTTGCTGGAGTGAGATCTATTATAGCTCTAGGATATGGCAATGTACTTGCCGATACCGCAGACTACATTGGTATGGCAGGATTAGTACATAATGGCATCGATATTTTATTGCTGTTGAATTTTTCATCTTAAATGAAATAGACATCTTAAATAATAGACAGTAACTCAAATACACCATTCATAGTTACATTGGGCATATGTTTTACTTATGTATTATGTACGTCATAGCTCTGGTAGACTCTCAAAACAAAGAAGTCTTTTAAAAAAATGAGCCCTTTCAATGACAGATTCTAGTACTTTAAAGCAGTATTTTACCATAGTGCTTTTCATAAATGCTTCTAAATTTCCCAGTAAATTGTAATTTATATATCTATCAAGCCCATAATTCAAAACTAAAGTGCTCTGCGAGCCTGGGCGCATACAGCGATGTTATCTGCAAGAAAAATGAATTATGCATATCCTATAGCACTACATCTGACAAAGTAGTGCTGTAATTCCAATGCAGTGGGGCAATACAGACTCATTCAATTGAGATACAAAAGGTAATGCAACAGTGCTGGGGGGTTTTCTTCCACGTACTGATGCCAACATTTATAATTTAATATTTTCAGAGAGAGAGAGAGAGAGATGAACAAACATAGGGAGTTCCTCCTGATTTACACCAGCGTAAGTGAGAGGAAAATCAGGCCAATGATGTGGGGTTAACAGGCTTGTATTGGATATTTTACCCAAAGTACTCTGATCGAGTGCTGTTAGACTTCAGCCGTGTTGATCAGTCTGCCCATGTGAAAGCAGAAGACAATATGCCCCCATGCCCGGAAAATGGGCTTTACAGGAGCAAGCGCCTTTCAAACTTGCCAGTTAAAGTCTCAGCCTGCTATAGGGCAATACTATGGAATGGTGCTTAAATGTAACAATTGGCATTTGAAAATAATGATACCCTCCCCTTTCAGACAGCAGCAATAAAGAGAATTTTCACAGCTTCTTAACATTTTCCCCTATAAACACATACTGCGGAGGTGGACCAACCACCCTGCTACAGAGAAATACCACAAGAGGTGTCATCTCCTGCCCAACAAAAGAAGGCCTATGGGCATCAGACAAGCCATGGTGGAACATCATTGGACAAAAGACTTTGTTGGTCCCCGTCCCCCCCAAAACATCCATGAAATGGAGATGTGCACAAATCCTCATCCCATCAGCTTGAGACCTGGGGGAAGGGGATAAAAATCTATGTCAAGAAAAACTGTTATCACTATGCTGCTTGGAATGTGGAGAGGGCAAAATTTCTAAGCATAAGAAAGAGATTCCCTAAGCAGCTTAGCCTGGTTTAGCCCTCAAGGACACAAAGAGCTTGTATATTACAGCAACCTCTATTATCTTTTGATACCTAAGACTGTAACTCATTTGGTGTATATGTTTACCTGCTTTAACCTTGTAAATAGCTCTCTCATTTCTTTTTCCTGGTTAATAAACTTTTAGTTAGTTTAATACAGGACTGGCTACAAGCATGGTCTTTGATGAGAAATCTAAGGTACAAATGACCTGGGGAAAGTGACTGGTCCTTTAGGACTGGGAGTAACCTGAACATTGTGGTGATTTTTGATGTAAGGGACCATCTATCACAAAGGCAGGCTTGCCTGGGTGGCAAGATAGATCAGTGTGCCCGAGGGGACTGTCTAGGACTCCATGTTAAGGCTGTTATAGTGTCTGAGGAGTTCACACTTGTTACTTGGTTGGTGAAATCTAGTGATAGAACATACAGCCAGTTTGGGGTTTGTGTCCTGTTCCTGGACAGTCTGCCCTGAGGTTGGCACGCATGCTCGTAAGCCTCTCCAGACAGCTTGACAAATATATTCAGTAACTTTTGAGTTACCCAAGCATGGATAATCAGATGTTTTCCACACTGTACGAAAATCGTTCAGACCCTGTTTTTTTGCACTTGGAGGACACCAAGAGTTTCTCTTTGAAGCTTTGGATGTTCATAATTCTCCATGAGGAACCCAGACTTTGCCAAGTTGGGGGCGGCGGGGGGGAGGGGGGGGAGGTGAGGAATAAATAAACGATAAGCAAATGCAAAGCAACAGGATATTATTTCCCTTAACCAAGTGTGCACTAAGTATAATTAGAAAAACAACACACATATAAACTTAGCATACAGCAGCCATGAAGCACAGAATATGCCTCAGGATCGAGAGAGACAGTATAAACAGGTCCTTTTCATCCTTCCCCAGCAGCTGTCCTTGGACAAGGCAGAGGATCTGGCCCTTGGTGTTTATTTGAATAGGCCACTGCACATCCAAATGAACACCATCTGCAGCAGCTGTTAACAAATAAACCCAACAACCAGAGCTATGCTGATATCATTGCTGGCAAACAAGGAACAAGCAAAATGGGCCATTTCATTGTAATTTCACCTTCAACAGAAAAAAGATATCAGTATCTCATCACCAACGGGGGAAAAAGTGTTTGCTAAATGGAAAATTATAATCTCCTTAGGGAAAAAGACATTTAATTTTCAATCTCCTAAAACAGTAAAGCTTAACAAATAATTAAAAGTGGCTAACAGTGTCTCAAAGTGATACTAGTTTCTAATCTAAGCAAAATCTAGCTGTGCTGAAACAATCAGTGAAACCATACCAAAAAAAAGATATACCCAGTCTAGGGACAGTTGCAGCATGTTGTTAATTAATGTTACATACATAGTGCTTGATCTTAGAGTTCTATACCACAAACGTAGCAGAATGATGTCCGAACTCTTACACATTGCTAAGTATTTCCTGAAGCCAAGAAACACTTCACATTCATTGTTTGCTTCTGCTCTGAGGTTCAACTTGAATATGTGTATTTTAACATTAATAATAATTTATTTTAAAAATTACCTTTTGTTGAATCATCTTCAATTGGTTGTTTGAACAAAGTGATATCTTTAAAAGTGCACAGGAATAAAACCACTTTTTCATGTTCGTTTCTTATAGGTGCGATTTGCATGTAGAACCAAACTGGGGTTCCTGGAGAAGAGAGAAAGAAACCAGGGCATGTGATAGAACACCAGCTTTCCACAACTCCTACACGGGGCATTTCATGGTTTAAATGCTGTATTATATGCATTTATCTGAAAACCATTTCTAGATAGCTGTACTTTTGCCATGTTTGTTTGGGTCTATAATATATTCACACACACATTAAAATGAGAAAATGCTAGCAATCCAATTAACTACCCCAAGTAACCAAAGGAAGAACCCCAAACAATTTTTGCCATAACACTGTTTTACTATTCCCCCTTTAGCCTGGTCTCTCCCTATCATTCTTCACCCCCTTTGAAGTCTGGTCGGGTCTCATCCTCAGGGTATGAAAAACTTTCTGATATTTCTAAAGTAACAAACAAGGCGAGAGGAAAACCTTGACGATCCATGTTACTCCATCACAGAGAATCAAAACAAAATGGCAAAGACACCTACGTTTTTTCTTTGCTGGTCATCTTTAAAAAACAAGCTTTAGATTTTTTTAAAAACATTTTTTAATTTCTCTGTAAATTAGGATGATTCTGTCAAATGTGCCATGTCCCCGATTTGACACTCTTCCACACGTAAAAAAGAACGCTTGAGAGATGAGCTCAGCCATCCTGCCTCCCTGTTTTCTGGGCTAATCACCAGACCATACCCTCCCCCAACACACACACACAGCTGAATATAGAGCTCAAGAGGTCTGACTCCCAGTCTCTCTGCTGTTCTAACCAATAGATGATATACCCACCGATATATCTTCCTCTTAGTATTTAAACTAAAGGCAAAACCATTTTACAATCCTGGCACTTTGGTTAAGCAAACAATAAACAAAGCACCTAAAATGCTGGAGGGGTTAGGATAGCAGATATATATGCACACAGCAGGAATGTAATATGCTTAATTCTCCTGCATGATGTACCAGTAAACCGGCAAGTGTCCTGTTCTCTATAGGGTCAAATTCACCCCTGAGTAGTCAGCCACCACAAGGATTGTGCACCACTTCAGTTCTATTGCTTCATGCTGATCTGCTGCAGGGGGGTAGATTTTACTCTTATTGATTTGGGATCCTGCACAGTTTGTTTAGAGATACACAGTTCACTTGTATGAATGGCATGTCAGTGAAGCCTCACCTACACTAGAAAACATGGGCCATCCTGAGAGTCATTTGCTCCCCATAGCAAGTTTATAACACCTCACATCCATACACAGAGGTGCTCCAAATGGCTTAGTATCATCAGCATAGGACATGGCCTCTTTGCAAATTGTCACACGGATTAATCTCTGGCGGGGTGCTTAAGGTGGTGTGATTGTATATTCAGTTTATATCCATCCCTGACAATCTTGTCACACCACTGAAGCTTTTGGCAAACATGGGCTTGTCGGCCAAGTAGCAGCATTCCTTGGTACACACACTTTGAAACTGGTTGGTCTTTTAGTCTAATATGTCCAGGCCAAGAAAGCCATTGAAACTGAACCAGTGCGGATGGAGACGGTGGCTGGTTCAGCTTTTGAATAGCCTAATTTCTGATCTTGTCCTGCCACTTGATATGGAGAAGTGGACGGAGACTACGAGAATGGAAAATATCATTCCAACATTCTTCAGCTTTCCTCTGTGCCCACATTTCACTTCCATTCAGCAGAGCTGGTCTGTGGTTCCATAGATCCGCAGCGTAATGTCTCAACATTCCTCACAGAGGCTACTGAAGGGCCAAAAACAGGGCAGCATCGGCTACTTCACAGGCATCCACTTATTTTGAGCATCTTCAGACCTCATGCTGGAGGATGGCTTAGCAGAATGCACAATGCCATTTGGATTAGACATGCTTTCACCCAGGTTAAAAATTGTTTTCAGTCTGAACTGTTTTGGTGCGAGTATGGACACAAACTAGTTCACCCACACAATGCACCGTTGGCCTTTCAAAATCTCCCACCATGCATTGCTTCTGGAGTTGTACCAGAAACTGCAGAATAGGTGCCCAGAGGGCACTGCAAATAAAATGGTTTAGCATAAGACTAGTGTAGACAAGGTCAAAACTGTAATTCACCGTAGCTACACTGAACTGTTTGTGATTAAACCAGTACAATAGCAGTAAGTGGTACAAGCACAGGGAAGGCCTGTGGTTTAGGGTTTATTCAAGGGACATTGTGCTGACTGCTCCATTATTTCAACTACCAATGGCCAACTCAAGATTTACAGACCTGAACACTGGCTTCTAAGAGGTTTGTAATGTGCAGCTCTTTAGACAAGTAACTAATTAAAAAGCAGAAGTCACTCTAATAAACACAAGGAAACCAGGCAGTCCTCATACCAGCAAGCTGAAATTGCTAAGTAAGTGCCTGAGGGCAGCAATCCTGAGGATAATGCCTGAAAGCAGCAGCCCCTGGATAATACCTCTCACTATGCTGGAGGCAAAGGAAAAACCAAACAAGTCTCAGTTGCTACCAAAAGAGTCTCTCAGGAGAAAAACCTACACAACTCATGAGCAAGAAGACACAGCACTGCTAGGCACAGAGTGGGGGTTGAAATGAACACTGGATGTTCTCATGCTTGGTCTATGAAAGTGCAGTGAACTCAGAGCAGAAGGCTGGTGACACACCTGGCCACCAGTGGGAATAAACTGAAACCCCTCAATCTGGTAACAGTCTATATTTCCTGCAGGTGTTATGGAAGAAACATACACTACCTATTTTTCGCTACAGTGTTAACCTTAACATGTGCTTTTGTAGTGAGGTCACGTTTTACCAATCTGCAGAAAGCCAGGTACAGATTACGACTGGGTAGAACCAAGTGCTGGACAACGCATTTGCTGAGACAGAAGTCGGCCAGTTAAAGTGTTAGTACCAAAAGGAGTCTTAATTCTTGGCTTTGGGGGAAGAGGAGAGAGAGCAAGAGAGATTGAATTTACGGATGGGATCCGATCCAAGACTGAACAGAGAATGACCCTATGGACTGTACTTGGATATTTTCTTATTACAAAATCCTTCCACTATCCTGCATATCTTATAAAAACTATAGACAGAAGAGCTGGAAATCTGGGCACAGCTGAAGGTTTTAATGAGGAAGCTGTGTTTCAGGATTTATTGAGAGGCAATCCACTCAAGCAGGGGATATTCTCTAAGCAAAAGCTATTGGCCCGATATGGAAAAGAGATCAGGAGAAAGCTTTTAGCTTTTCTATTTAAAAATAAAAGGGAAAGGAATTTAATGAAAGACTGACACCTGTTAACCAGGAGCTGCCACTTCAGCTTATTTTTAATAAGATAACCCTATAGTAAAGGGGAGAGTTGATTGCCAGGGATCCATTCTGTTACCAGCTGGAAACAGGGTGTGGCAACACTAAAAGCCTTTTCCAGTGGAGAAATGCAGGGCAAACCCATCTCAGGACAATTTCCTAACATGTGGGAGCAATCAGGCAGAGTACATGGACAAAAGAGCAGAGCAGCGGAAAAGCAAAAGAACAGACATGACCATTTGCCAAAGACCAGAATGGTGTCATTCACAGGACATGTCAAGACACCTGCAGCAATACTGGAAGTGAGAGCTTCAATTGTGCTTCTTTTAATGGAAAAGTTTGCTAACATACTTCGGGGTGGGCAGAACACATGTATAATTTCAGGAAGTCTTAGCAGGTACAATCTCAGGGAGCAGCATGGTCTTAAATCCTCTGTTCATAGTTATGAGAGACAGAAGTGTTTGTATTAATATATAGCACAACTATTGGATGAGGCCCTGGAACACGATTTGCCCTTTCCTATAGTGCACATTTTTTCTGCAACTGAAGTACACTAGGAAAAGCTATGGACCCGATCCTGCAAGCTACTCCATGCAGGCATAGGGGTCTGCCTGTGGAGAGCAGCTTACAAGGCTAGGGCCTATATAACCTGGCCTCACACAACCGAATGAACATGCAAGTTACTGGGTCAAGCTTCCAGGATCTCATGGCAGCAGCATTCTTTGAATAGTGATTAAGTCCGAGTATAAAAAAAAAAGAGGGACTGTAAGAGTTAAAAACACAGAGTCTGTAAACTTTGCCAGCCAATCCACAACTGAGAGATTTTGTCCAGCATCATGTTAAATGTTGATGAACAAGAACAATGCACAGAAGCAGCATAAACACCTACAGAGAAAGACTAGGATAGCAATATGTGGTGGCAACCTGACTCTGAAGTAAAATCATCTCCAGTTCTTGAAACCTGCTGGAGAAGCCAGCCAGCTAAAGGAGAGAATTGGTCACATTGTTGAGTTACTATATTGTCCTCTGCCTTCTAATAACCTTGTACTAATTCTTGACTGGGTCTTATGTTTGGTGGTCTCAGCCAAGTTCCTAATGGGTATCTTTACGCATCATAGAGCCATCAAATCAGTAGGCACAAGTGACAGGACCATAGACATCTGGGACATGAGTGTTCCAGCTCATGATTGAGGGAATTCTCCGATCTGCATGGAGCACCTCGCACAGTGCTTCCTACCAATGTACCTAGTTTGATCACCTTCATATACCCCAAAAGTTTCAAAAATGGGTTTCTGGGGTCCTCACCTGAGGCATTTTAAAGGGGCCAGACTTTCAGAAAGTGCGGAGTACCCACCCGCTAAAAACCAGACCCTTTTAAGGGGTCTCAAGTTGCCCATTCAAATATTAAGGCACCCAAAATCACTAGTCACTTTTAAAAACCTTGCCCCAAACTCCCACACAAATGCTAAAAGAAAAATTGGTATTGCTCAATTATTCATTTTAAAAATATACTGTTAATAACCACTAGTTGCATACATACTGTTATACATACTGTTTTTCTTGTACAGAAGAATTTCAAAGCAGTTTGACTCATAGTTGTCAAAAGTCTGTCTGACTTTTTCAATGGTCTTCTTATCCGTCAGTTCCCCATACATAAAACTGGAAAAGAAAAATCCATTTCTGTTTTTTTCCACACTCAAGTAACACCTTAGAAACATTGGCTATACTGTAATTGTCATCCACTGACATGTAACTACGATTTACACCTCATTTCAACATTTATGGTATTCCAAGATTGCCATGAAACCTATAAAGCAAACAATTGTGGCTGCTTATTTATTGTAAGAAAGATTTATGTGCTGTCATTATACGTTTTATATAAGTGACTTTCTAGGTATACATTCAAGGCTAGAGTGTTAAAAAAAAGAGCTGACAATATACAAAAGCATGTCCTATTACTACCAATGGGGCAACACGTAAAAATGCTACAGTGACAAAATGATAAAGTGGAGAAGAAAACTCAACAAAAGCCATGCAAATTCTCAAATCCTCTTAGAACCCCTTAGACTCGTGAGGCAGAATGGAATCCACTACTGATAAGTCCTGATGATCCAAGCATCAGTTATGAGAATGTTGAGCTACACAAAATTTGCTTCCATGCCCTGAATCCAAAATTCAGACAGGGACCAAAGTTCCGTTCTCTAAAATTATCCAGAGGTACCCCAAGACATTCAGGTAATCAGAGTTTACTTATAAAGGTCTGATTATGAATCAAGACAGGATTTCACCAACAAGAAATAAAGGCTGCAATTCTCTTGCAAATAAATTCCCCAATCCAGCACAACTTTTAAGAGTACGAATTGTCCCATTGAAGTCAAGTCAAGTTTGCATTTTATCCCATGTGAGTGGGAAAGAAGTCACTGGGACAACTCACACGCTTCAAGTTAGAGATGTGCCTAAGTGCCTTGCTGGCTCAATTTCCCAGCTACCCTGTTCAACATGACACCTTTCAAATAGTGAATTCCCAACATCAATTATATAAGTGCCAGCACCTGACATTCATATTGGCAGGGTGAATTTCAATGGAAGGGCATCCCTGGTTCAAATTCTCTGTGCTGATGTAAATATGCAAAACTCCGTTAAACTCCTCTGAGGTTTACTCACGTTATATTTACCTCACTTGCCTAACTTGTGGAATAAAATAGAACTGTATGCATTGCCTTTTTATTGCACAAGTAAGAAACCGAACTGCTAGACTATTATGCAACTCTTTTAAGAAATATGCAAATATATTTAATTATTTCATGTTATTCAATTAATTTTTGTATCACATTGTTTGGAAAAAGTACTAAAATGCATCTGTACATTCCTCCTCCTCCCCTCCACTAACCGGGTATAAATGCAAACTTAAGGATGGTGTGGGTCCGCTGCTCAATGGAGAAGGTGAGCTGGAAACAGAAGATGATAGGAAGGTAGAGCTTCTCAATATCTACTTTGCTTCAGTCTTCTCACAAAAATTAACATGTGACCAGATGACTAGTGAAGTTACCATAGATAATAAAGGGGAAGGGATGCAGATTGGGATAAGTAAAGAACACATCAGATCTTCTGACCAATTTGAATGGATTCAAATCAGCAGGGCCAGATGCTATGCACACAAGGGTACTGAAAGAATTAGCTGAAGAAATCTGGGAGCCACTGGCAATACTATTTACAAACTTGTGGATGACAGGAGAGGTCCCAGAAGACTGGAGAGAGGCTAACATAGCGTCCACCTTTGAAAACGGGAAAAAGGAGGCGCCAGGGGAACTATAGAGCAGTCAGCCAATCCTCGATACCTAGTAAGCTACTAGAGCAATGTATAAACATTCAATTTGTGAATACCTAGAGGATGAAGGGGTAATCACTAGCGGCCAGCATGGATTTACCAAGAATAAATCATGCCAAACCAGCTTGATTTCCTTCTTTGACAGAGTAACTGATTTGGTGGATAGGAGGAATATGATGGACATAATATACCTGGACTTCAGCAAGGCTTTTGACACAGTCCCACATGACATTCTGATAAGTAAGCTGGAGAAATGTGGATTCGACGGAACTACCATTAAGTGGATACATAATTGGGGGGTTCCCATAGGGATCTGTTCTGGGTCCGGTGTTGTTTAACACCTTTATTAATGACCTGGATGTAAGTATGGAGAGAATACTGATCAAGTGTACAGATGACACAAAGCTAGTAGGGGTTGCCAATACTTTGGAGGATAGAGCTCACATTCAGAGGGATCTCGATAAATTGAAGAACTGGGCTATAGACAACCAAATGACATTCAGCAAAGACACATGTAAGGTGCTACACTTCGGGAAGAAAAATCGAACACACAAATACAGAACGAGGGGAAAACTGACTTGGCAGCAGCACTGCTCAGAAGGATCTGGGAGTTGTGGTGGATCACAACCTCAACATGAGTCAGCAATGTGATGCTGTTGCAAATAAAGCAAATGCGGTTTTAGATTGCATTAACAGAGGCATAGCATGCGTGTCACGGGAGGTGATAGTACTACTCTACTCAGTGCTGGTTAGGCCTCAGCTGGAGTACTGTGTCCAGTCTTAGGCACCAATGTATAAAAAGGATGCAGCGAGACTGGAAAGGATCCTGAGGCAAGAGACAAAGATGATCAAAGGGATGGAATGTGAGACATATGAGCAAAGGCTGAGGGAACTGGGTATGTTTAGTTTGGAAAAGAGGAGATTGGGGGGAGGGGGAGGTATGATAGTGGTCTTCAGATACTTAAAAGGCTGCCATAAAAAAAGATGGGAGAAAAGCTGTCCTCTCTTGTCTCAGAGGGCAGGACAAGAGGCAATGGATTCAAACTACAGCATAGCAGATCTAGATTAAATCTCAGAAAAAGCTTCCTAGCTGTAAGAACTGTAGGACAATGGAACAGACTGCCTAAGCTTCTTCACCGGAGTTTTTCAAAAGGAGGCTGGTATAAGTGGGCACCGCTCCATTGACTTTACTTCTAAGGGTATGTCTACACTGCAGCTGGGAGCAGGGCCACCTGGGGGAAAGGAGGGCGCAAGAAAAACTAATGCGTGAGATTGCAGCACCATTCAGGTTTGGCCCAGCAGCTCCTCCGCAATGGAGAGGCCACCAGTCCAAACTGAGTGGTAGAATATAGAATAGAATATCAGGGTTGGAAGGGACCTCAGGAGGTCATCTAGTCCAACCCCCTGCTCAAAGCAGGCCCAAGTGGTGCTGCAAGCCCCTGAGCCAGGTCACAACACGCGAAGCAGGGAGCTGGGCCCAGCCCCATAGGACAGAAGCCAGCACTGTGGGGTTGCGGGGGTGGCACCTCTCCAATATGCCACTGCTCCCCAGGTCCGCCTCTCGGGGACCATTTTTTTGGAAGGTGGGAGGGCCTCAGTTTCAGATTTTGCCCCAGGCTCCCAAACACCTGTGTGCTGACCTGACTGAGAAGTGTGATTCACAGCGTGGGTAGACAGACTCACGCTAGTCCAGCTTGAGATAGTGTGCTAAAAACAGCAGTATGGGCATCGCAGCCCGAGCTTGGCCCACAGTGGTGGCCCAGGCAGGCCTGGACTCAGGTGGCTAGCCCGAGCTGCCAAACATGCTGCCATGTCCGCACTGCTATTTTTAGCGCACCAGCTCAAACTGAGCTAGCGGGGAGTTACCTGGGTGGGAAATCACACCTTCCAGCTGCAGTAGAGACAAACCCTAAAAGACTGAATTTCGTAACAGAACATCTGAGCCCCCATGGTTATTCTTCCCCAGGACCAAAAACCAATGCAGACTGTTCTACGCAGATCTACAATTAAAGAACTGCAAGAAAAAAGGAAGATAGAATAAAAGCTGCCCAACACTTGGATGAACATACTTTTAATTGCCATTCACAGGCATTTTGAGTTTGAATGGAAACCCACAACAGCAACCTCCATGAAAATTAAAGATAAAGAGGAAATAAGGCTACCAGTGTCTCTGCAGTTTAAAAGAAGTTTTTCTTTTATTGATTGACAAACCTTCAGAGCTTCAGTAAACTGAGATTTATTTTACACTTATGCTGCAAGAAACAACAAAACAAGAACACTGAAGTTGTTAGTGACTTGACTGTGTTAGGGCCAGACTGTGAACTCCTTACTCACTACTGCTAAGCAGTTTTTCACACCAGTACAGTAGTTCTACTGGGTCAAGAGGAAACTCGCAGAGTAAGGTGCTACTCAGTGCGAGTAATGGGATCAGAATCTGGCCTGTAGATGAAAAACGTCCTATAATATTTGTGGGATACTAAAGGAAGTTATGCACAGCAAAACAAAGGCAGGCACTGATACAGTATATGTCATTACTAAGTCACCAGTGCAAATTATTAAGGAGATGCTACTGGACTTTTCTGTGATGATTGATGCCAGCAATCTGTTTTACCAAATCAGCTGAGTTCTACAAGATACCACTCAATAATGTCATCATTTTTGGAATTCACCACCAACCTATAATCCAACTTCTATTAATACATGGCAGTCTTTCAGATAATTCCACAACATACTGCAGACAGAATATTTTCAAATTACCTGTTTTCTATTTAGAAGTTCAGCTGATAATGTTTTATACATTTACATTTGAGGTGACAACAACTAAGGTTGGAATGTTTCATTTCTTTTTTATCTGTCCTCTTTAATGCACTGACAGGGCAAAACAAAAATATGACCCGAGAGGTTTAGCACAATATATCATGCAACTGAATTTTCTGTTATGTTGTGCCAGAGATTTAAAACAATTTTCCCCTTAGTACGAGACTACAGAAAAAAGATTCTGCTCAAGTGTTTATGTGGTTTATAAGTGCAGAAACAATCAATATTAATTAGAGGTATAATGACTAGCTGTATTCAGCATCTTGTATAGTGGGGATATTAGGTATTAAGGAGTATACTATACAACCCTGCTGAATATGATCAATCAACTGTATGTTTACATGAAAGTCAGTTTATGAGAGCAGTCAATCTCTAAAGTTCAAATCTTACAATATTTTCACATGTAAGGACACATTTTAAGGTCTTGTGCTGCAATAACTAAACTTTTCAATGGACAGTTTTTAATATCAGGTGCACAGGGAACTTACAAAGCAACTCTGCCATACAAGTTACA